AGCATATAAAAAAAAATCTCAATCAAGCTTAGCAAAACCAACATAAACAAAGCCTTAAACTCAACATAATTGATTTTCTTTTCCCCTCCATTTTCTTTCTTTCTAACTCAAAAACAAACCAACTGTAAAGCTATCAACCTGATCCACGGCACCAAACTCAAGACATACAACCTCCTCTTTTCTCAACAAACTAATGATCCACGGCACCAAACTCAAGACATACAACCTCCTCTTTTCTCAACAAACTAAAGCATGCTTAACAACGCAATTAAACTAAGCCAAATAACATACAACAGCAAGGCAAAAATACCACACCAAGGGCTTTTTTCTTTTCCTTTTTCCCCAAACATTAAGCTACACAAATTGACACTTTACACCTGAAATTAAAAATCTGTTATATCCTAACCTTCAGCATGTATAACACATAATAATGTACAGCAAAACAAGGCAAACTACTCGGCCAAACAACACAAGAACCAATTCATTTACCTCTTCAACTTCAAGCCTAAAACAACAACAGGTATTTCTCTTTTCCTATACTCTTTTTCTAAACTCAAAGCAACAAATAATCATCCTCAAAGCTGAATATAGTACCCTGATAACTACTCAGTTTCAACAATATAAACAACACATCCAAAACAAATCAAAAGTTGCTCTCTTTAGTCTTAACTCTTAATCTCAAGCCTGCTGAAACAAAATCCCATAAGACTGAAACTATAGCATACAAAACACATATTCTTGGCCATTCTGAATGCTAAAAGGGGCCATGCCTATTGTTGATCCCAAAATGCGCCGTGCTCAATCAATGTTTACTGGTGTATTCAAACTCAGCTACCATCAGCCAAATCTTCGCAAATGAAAATTTTCCATGAGGTATCATCTTCAAACACAATACCCTTCAAGCACCATTCATCAATACCCTCAGCTCCACTATTGCATGCCTACTTGCCCAAAATTATCCATTTCGCAGCAACCTTCTCATATGTATTTTAAAATATTACTAAAACTGCTTGTTACGAATAAATTAAAAAAAAAAATAAATGAAAAAGTTTTCAGTTTTACCTTCAAATTGATGTTTGTGACAACCACCACATGAGATTTGCCGCCAAGCTCCAAAACAATGAGCATAGGATGCCTTGCAGCAGCAACTGACACGACACGCCCCACCTTACCATTCCCTTCACAATGTATACCTTAAAAGAGAAGATTAAGAAGACTAGGATGGCACTAACCAGGTGGAATAAAGAGTCTAAGTCTGATAATGTGAAGAATATTGCTGATATGACTCTTAAGTTGGAGGATATGAGAGCTCTAGGTGGTCAGAGGAATTGGGAGGAATGGGACAAAGTTAAAAAACAACTGGATGAATCTCACCTATCAGAGGAGGAGTTTTGGAGGCAAAAAGCTCGAGTCCAATGGCTAAAGGGAGGGGACAAGAATACTAAATTCTTCCATGCCATCACCATGCAAAGAAGGAAAAAGAATGCTATCTCTCGAGTGGTGGATAATTTGAATAGAGTTGCAGTTAGCCAGGAGCAGATTGAGACTTGTTTTATCAACTTCTACCAAACTCTTTTTACATCTGAAGGTTCTCAAGGTGAAGAAGAAATTCTGCAACTAATATCTCCTGTTATTTCTGAGGAGGTAAATTCCAGACTAATTGCACCTGTGGATGAGGAGGAGATCAAAGTTGCCCTTTTTGCTATGAACCCAAACAAAGCACCAGGAGAAGACGGTATGACCCCTTTATTTTTCCAGCATTTTTGGCCCATTATTAAAGGTGATCTCTGTGCGGCCATTTTGAATTTTTTTGATACTGGTAGAATGCCAAGAAGCTGGAATCATGCAGTGATAACTTTAATTCCTAAATGTGAGAATCCAGAATCTGTAAATCAGTATAGACCGATAAGCCTTTGTTCTGTTTCTTACAAGATTATTGCTAAGATCATTGCTGCTAGAATGAAAGAGTGCTTAAATTGCTGTATCAGTGAAACACAATCAGCCTTTATGCCTGATAGACAGCTTCTGGATAATGTGGTTGTTGCGCATGAAGTTCTTCACTATCTGAATAAGCACCGGGTGGGTAGTAAAAGGTTCATGGCTGTTAAACTAGATATGATGAAGGCTTATGACTGTGTTGAGTGGAATTGTTTGATTAAGTTAATGAGGAAAATGGGATTTAGCCCTGTGTTTGTGAGATGGGTCTTTGCTTGCATTTCTTCATCTGTCTTTTCATTCAACATCAATGGCAAGGTGACTGGTATGGTTGTTCCCACTAGAGGGCTTAGACAAGGAGATCCCTTGTCTCCCTATCTATTTCTGCTGGTTACTGAGATCTTTACTAAACTGATTGGGAAGGAGATAAGATCTGGTCAGCTGCAGGGATTGAAAATTACAAGGGGTGGGACTATTCTGTCTCATCTTATGTTTGCTGATGATACACTTATGTTCTGTGTAGCTGATTCTCACAATGCTTTGACTCTACTCAGGATTTTAGCCACTTACCAAAGATTTACAGGGCAGAGAGTGAATTTAACAAAGTCTTCAGTCTTCTTCAGTAGGAATGCTTCTATTGGGCTCAAGCAGGAGATCTGTCAATGCTTACAGGGAATTGAGGTATGTCACTCATCTAGATACCTTGGTCTTCCTTTAGGTATTGGCAAAAGTAAGAAAGAAGTATTTGGATATGTTACTGCTGTGGTTAAGAAAAAGATTGTGAGCTGGAAGAATAAGTTTTTATCTTTTGCTGGTAAGGAAGTTCTATTGAAGGCTGTGATCTCTTCTTTGCCTATCTTTGTGATGTCTTGCTTTTGCCTACCTGTGGGGGTGTGCAAAGAAATAGCACAGCTTTGTGCTAACTTTTGGTGGTCATCTGGTAAGGAGCAGCAGAATGGAGTGCATTGGCTGGCATGGCAGAAGGTTACTACACCTAAATGTGCAGGGGGACTTGGTTTTAAAGACTTTAGGGTTGTCAATGACTCTCTAATTTTGAAACAGATCTGGAGATTGCTAACTAAACCTAATTCTCTTATGACTAGAATACTGAAGGAGAAGTATTTCCCAAATGAGTGTGTGTTAAATGTTAAAGGGAAAGCTTCAGCATCTTGGCTATGGAACTCTTGGGTTAAAGTGATGAACAAGCATAGCAACAGGTTTAGGAAGCAGGTGAATGATGGGGCCAGTACTAGAATCTTTTCTGATCCTTGGGTGTTGGGGAGCAAGACAGGTCTTCCTAGTCTTAAACATGATTGTGGGCAGATACAGGTAATTTGGGTTAGGGACTTATTGTCTGATACTGGTAGAGCCTGGAACAGCTCCTTGCTGCAACAGCTTTTCACTCCACAGTCTTGTGCAGAAATTTTGCAGATGGAGTGTCTGAATCCTGAGAAGAGAGACAGATGGATTTGGTGTCCCGATGCTAAGGGCCTTTTTTCTGTGGCTTCAGCTTATGAGGTTGCTATAAATCAAAAGGTGTTGAAACTTGATATTCCTAGTTGCAGCTATACTCAGAGTTTGGATAAGAGAGCTAGGATGAGGTGTTGGTCCTTGCAAGTTAAACCGAAGCTTAGACATTTTCTGTGGAAGTGCTTTACAAATAATCTCCCAGTTGCCCAGAATTTACTGCAGAGAAGAATTGATGTGGACCCTTTATGCAGATGCTGTGGGGAGGAGATAGAAACTGTTTCTCATTTATTTTTTGCTTGCAGCAGGGCTCAGCAGGTATGGAAGGCTTCTTCTGTATCATGGGATTTCAATGAAACAGCTCACACAGGCTTTAAAGGTTGGTGGTGGAAAATTGCCGAAATGAAGTTGTCTCCAGTTTCTAAAGCTCGCATCCAATTATCAACGTACATTCTGTGGTGGCTGTGGAAGTCACGGAACTTATGGGTCTTACAAAAAGAATGGATGCCGGAGGAGCATGTGGCCAAGTGCGCTCATGGAGAATGGTCGGAAGCTGCCTCTTATGTGTAGTTCTTATTTTTTATTTTTCTTTTTTGTTGGTTTTTGTTGTTCTTGGTTTGTTATTTAGCGTCTGTATCCATAGCTAGGTCCATTCAGGTTCAGTGGCTTGGATTATGTATTGTTGCTTAGAGTTCGGTTGTTGTTTGTGTGTTTGGTTGTTGTGACGGAGCAGGTCCCCTTAGCTTCGGTTAAGCCTGTTATCCGTTTTTTGTGTTGTGATAGGCCACCATCTTGGAGTGGTTCTACGGGTTGTATTATGGCTAGTCGGCCATGCGGCTGTAACTCTTTTTATNATTGTTAAGTTTTCTGAGTAAAACAAATAGACGTTTTTCAACAAATAAGTTCATCTCTATAATAAAACTCCATTATTAGTAGAGAATACTGTTATATTTATACTATGATAAGTAAAAAATATTTAGGGAATTGTAAAAAGAAGAAGGAAAATTTGCAGCTTAATTGCATAAATTCCAACATTTTCTAGAACAACACCAGAACTCAAGGAAACAAAACACACTCGAGAGACTCTAAATAATGTCTACAAATATGGCAAATATGATACACTAAAAGAAATAATCGTTTTCATTTGCAATCGACACGAAAACTAAGAGCACCTATCTTGGAATCACACCTTACAGTTTTAATAATGGACGACACATTCTAGTCACTTAAAAGAGCTCAAACACATTCAAGTCAACGAACTTAATAGATTATAGGGCACTGAACGACACTATATTCCACACATGCAAAGCAATTATCCCAAGACTCAACAGTTCATGTGATGTGAGAAACAAAGAGGAAGTATATTGTATGAGGCCAAATTAAAGAAGCAACACAAAAATCAGCCAAATGTACTTTCATCTATCCTTACACCAGCCAACACAACAAACTCAGACACACATACTGTCAATGTGGGTATGCAGTGTATTTTCTGGAACAAAATGCATGTAAAAGCTCACTTTGCAAGAAGGTGTCATTGCCATTTTCTTTTTGCCTATTTAAGCTCTACAAAAACTCGGGTAAAGGGTTATGGTAACAAGTCTATGCCAATTAGCTATGTACGTGTTGCCTAGACAGAAAGGGAAATTCTACGTAATACAAGGGCTATCATGAATATAGACACAAAAAGCAGACTAACAACACCTAGTGTTAGTAGAATTTCCAGGTGCAGAATCTTGTTTAAGAATAGGAATTCATGTCCGTCAAAAAACTGACGAAGAAGATCCATAGCTTCCATTGGGTTTTCGTTCGCCAATTCAAGCAAAGTCAAGAAAAACTCACAATTAGGAACAAGCTTTGGTAAAAATGTCACTGTCCTAATTAGGATCTGTTCAGCTAGGCCAAGCAGGAAACCCTTCGCAGCAATGCTGTCACAAAAAGCAAAGACATATTAGTTATCCTAATGGTTATCGACTCAAAATCTCGAGAAGAAGACATTTAAGGCAATATTAACTATGATGCTCACCTAAACAACTTTTTAATTTCGATAGTATACGGATCCAGATGAATAGTACTTTTATATGATTTGCACGCCTGGAGGAAGTTCTGTATGTGTAAATAAAAGCACCGCCCATCAAGAAAAGAAAGGAAGAAAAATGAATTCTTAAATTGGATTGAAATTATAAGTAGACTGAGGTGGAGAAATTTTTTTGCATACTTTGAGGAGCATCCAGGCAACGTCTTTCATGCAGTGAGCCCTTGGGGAATCAGGTTTAAGCAGGATATAAGCTTCAACATCATGCAATCAAAAATTGGTTTCATGTAAAGTTGTCCAACATTTACTATGGTTTTCCAGCAATGTTACATCGTCCGGTTGAAGAATAAATGCCTGCAGTTCAGATGCCAATCACAAATTGAACCACTAGCAATGATGATTAAACTAACCAAAGAAAAGCAAATTTTCGAACAATCTCAATTAAGATTAAGCCACGAATAAAGTAGAACGACAAGCTGAATTACCATATTAAACCATTTTAAGGCCTCTTGATAATCTCCCCTTTCTAAAGCACCTTTGCCTAGGTTATCAAGTTCCCGAATGGAGACCTTTAGTGTCTCCATTCTCTGATATATTAACCAAACCAAAAAAAGTTGGAAATGTAACAACCCAAGAAACAAATAAATAGGAGATCAGAATACTTGTATTCCAACCAATTTCATGCAAGATATCTCAACAATCACATCTTCAGAGATTCCAAAATGAGAAAATCAATCGAGCGCCCTAAAATTTAGAGAGACCCCGTTATCGCAATAACAATTTTTTTTGTAGCATATATCTCTAATCAATCCATTAACCAAATAACGCCATTTTTAAAAGAAAATTCAAGAGTACAACATAAACGTACAATGAAGCTATTAACACAACAAACCTACAATGATGCTAATAACACAACCACAATTACCGTCGCCACCACTATCATAACGCGGCAAAGGCAGAATCCACTTCCGTCTCCACCTCTGCCAGGCGACCAAGCCTCGTTGACGGTCTTGTTCCAGGTGTGGAGCTCCTAGCCATCCATCCCCGTGAAACTGACAAATGGGGCGCACCAAATCAGGGAAGCCCAAATGAAGTCCAAGTGAGGTTCCATCCCAAAACCAATTGGTGGTAGGAGGAGTAGCCCACTAGGCTTATAAGTTAGGCCTATTTTCCCTGTATAGAGAATGTAGGACTAAGTCACAAGTGTATATTCTAACATCCCCTCACTTGTAAGTCCTTCGGAAGCCCAAGCCCAACTGGGCTGGGTGACGGGTACGTCATTGCACGGTCCCACGAAGTCCCAAGCCTAACTGGGCTGGGTGAACCGGCTCTGATACCATGACAAACGGGGGTTGACGGGTGCGGTCCCACGGACGAAGCGCACCAAAGCAGGGAAGCCCAAATGAAGCCCAAGTGAGGTTCCATCCCAAAACCAATTGGTGGTAGGAGGAGTAGTCCACTAGGCTTATAAGTTAGGCCTATTTTCCCTATATAGAGGATGCGGGACAACTCACAAGTGTATATTCTAACAGAAACCTCTCGATCTCCCAGTCTCGTAGTCGTTGATGATCTTAGGCAGCACAAATAACGAAAAAAAAAATCACATCCAGTGAAATCGTTACGAAATCTGTAAACTTCCCAACTAAAAACCGAAAGAAAAGTAGAGACTCGAAAGAAAATATGAAAAAGAAGAAGACAAAACGTACCGTTTTAGGAGTTATGCTCAAAATTCTTGCGAACAGCGGTGAACCAGGCGAAAGCAAGGCTCCGCCGCCTTGCCTGAGGACTGGCCGCTGGAGTGGTAGAAAAGAAATGTGTGGCCAGTTTTTTTCACTCTCTTTCTCTCTCTGGAAGAGGAGAGTGAAGAATAGCTGGTGAAATCGTGAAGTCTGGGCAATGTAAGAGCATCTCCAATGTGGCTTTTGACATTATAAAAGTTCATCCATATCATCAACTTTTAAAAGTGTGTTGCTAATTTATTCTCTAATGCATCTTGTCATGAACTCTTTCATGATGAGGTGGATAGTTGTAGCGCCCCGTTCGTTTATTTGAATTTTTTTTGAATATTATATTATTATTTATTTGTTTATAATTGATTATTTGTCTTTGCTTTAGATTATCTGCTTGATTATTATTTCCTAGGTGCCTAATTGACCATATTTATTATGTAGTTAAATTTTTTAGAAATATTAGGATTCATTGATTAGAAGATTAAATTGTTTCGGCGATTTCCAACTTAATCGCGTAAAGCCGTTTTATTTCCGTTTCGGCCCATCTTCGAGATTTTGTATCCGGACATCAGAATTTATATTCGTCTTAAATTTTTGGGGGTGGCTACGGTGCCGTGCAGGCACCATTCCATTAATTTAATTTCAGCCATTAGATATTAAGAATTAATACAAGCCTTTAGATTGGATGAAGTAACTGTGTGGAGTAAATCACCAAATCTTTTCCATGCGGATTAACCATTAACCAACCACCATACCGCCTACATCTCACCCACTTTCACATTCATTTTTTATTAGATCATATAAAATATTGTAAATTACTAAGAGCTCTTTAATTTTTCTTTTTCAAATATTTTATTTTATGTACTTTTAAGCATTAACATAATATAAAGACTTTGTACTTGACGGATACATAACTTTTTTTCTCATAGTATTTTTATATGTGAGTATATATCTCAAACTAGTGTATATCCAGTGCGATGCACAGAGAAGTTCATATTTTAAACCTTTTTTACACTTTATTTTAAATATAATTTTTTATATTTTTCACATTTCATCTATTATGAAAATAAAATAAATACAAACAATGAAAAATATATTATTAAACAATTTCCCTTATACAATATTTTTTATTTAAGGAATATTATTAAACCTTACGGTTTTGATTTTTGTTTAAAATCAATTATTCAATATATGATTGTTAATGTACAAAAAATAATGGAAAGAATCTAGACTTTAAAGTAAAGCGATTTTTTAATTTTTTTTAACAAATTAAAATTATCCAATTTTTTTTAATTTCAAAAAAAATTTGACTACTATTTTTAGTAAATGGTTATTCTTATTATATGCTAAATATATTTATCAACGAATTAATTGTAGATATAAAATTTTTATCACTAAAAAATAAATATCTTGTACATGTTTGGTAAATAAGATTACAAATAAATGAAATTATGAATATGTGTTATTTTTTATAACCTGTCATTATACATTTTGTTTTCGTTATGTTTCTTTAAATTGTTAAGAAAGTGTATTTAATTTATATATGTAAGCTTTAAAAGTATGCAGTTATTTATAGTTCCATTTTATTTGTGTTTCGTAATAATTCTCTTATGATATTTATATTCAATACACAATCTCTAACGTATTTTAGTAATCGTTTAAATAATAAAATGGATAAAACCTTATTAAACTTACAGCAACTGAACGTAGAGAAAAATCGAAAGATGCAATATTATTTTTTAGTTGATTCAATACTACTATTCCAATATAAATAATTTTTTAAATATATCTATAATACTAGGGCTGGCATTTTTTAACCGAAAACTGAAAACCAAACTGGACCGAATTGAACCGACGAGAAAATAAATTGAACCGTATCGAACCGCTTGTAACAGTAACCGATTATCGGTTACCGAATCACTATCGGGTTGGTATCGGTTTTGAACCCATTCGGTAAAACCGATACCGAATCGATAAGGGTAAAAAAATTAGAACAATGAGTTTTTTTAATATTAAAACAAGGATTAATGATTTAGAGTTTAGTGTTTAAAAATTAGAATATAGACTCAACCCTACCTAAACCCCAAACTGACGAGAAAAATACCACTACTCATCTCTTCATCCACCTTCTCACCAGAACAAATGTCGGTTTACCAGTCTCACTCCTTCTATGGAATATGGTACTATAATTGTAGTTTATTCTCGTACCACCGTTACTAGATAAGTTAGTTGAAGTTGTATCACAAATTTTATTTTTTGGATGTTCAACAATAGATTATTTTATTAGTTGCGTTTAACACAAAAACCAGAATCTAACTATATTTAAATTAACTTCTGTATATTAAATTTAGCTCTTTAATCCTTCAATGAATTTGTGAGTCTTTTGTGTATATTTAATTGGTAAGAAGTGAGAAAGTAAACGCTAGCATTTTTTATTTTTATTTTTGTGTGTTCAAAATCGGTTCGGTTTTTTCGGTATAAAATCGAAACCGAACCGAACCGAACCGAATTTTCGGTAACCGACTTTAATCGGTTCGGTATCGGTTTGGATTTTGAGGTTACCGACATTATCGGTTCGGTACCGGTATACGCTTATCGGTTCGGTTATCGAACCGATACCAACCCTAGGTTATACTAATAGTTGTATATTAATATTAAATTACTTATTTTATGATGCAAGTTCTGTTAAATTAATCTTTCAATCGATATTCATAAAATTAAAAATAAAAATTCGATTAAATTGTATCTAGTTTCTTAGAATAAACAAGTATATTTAGTTTATTTTTTCTTAACTAAATTATATTTGTTTGAATTATTCTAACTCAAATTAATTTACCAATTTCTACGCACAATGAATAAATAAATAAATAAATATTTTGGTTATTTTAGATATAGTATTGCTATACATGTGATAAAGATGCTATATGGTTATAATACTTATAAAACAAATTTACACAGAACACATGAAAATGTGAGTCCATTTAAATAAACTATTAACGGGCTCTATTTATGTGAGTGTATATGTACATCATTGTCGAAAAATTAAGTACAAGTTTAATTATTCTAAATAGTTTAATTAAAAATCAATTATAGAAATTTTATGCTACAGTGAAACTTTACAACAAATGTAAAGTTTGAATTTGAATTTTGTACAACAAATGTACAACAAATCAATTTTGAACTGTACAACAAATGTAAAATTTTCTGCGGCAGGGATCCTTCCGATGGGCGGCTGGGTGGCGTCGGTTGGCTGCAGCGATCTTCGAGCTCGTCGTCTTGCTGGTGGTACGGGTCTCCGCCTCAACCGCTAGCTGGAGTCGCTCCGAGGAGGTTTGTCCGATCAATTTTGCCACTTTGGTTGTCGATTGGGTGTGTTTCTCCGGACAGCTCGTATGCTCTGGAGGGGCTGGGCTGATGTTGTCGGAATTCTGAGGTGGGTAGGAGTGGAGCTCGTGCTGTGCTCGTGCTGTGAGGGGGTCGGGGGGAGGGTTGGTTCTCTCTTGCTCTGTTCTCCGTCGACTAGTGGTGTTAGGAGGCGTGGGAGGTCCTTTCGATTTCGTCTAGTGGTGTTAGAAGAGTGCGATTGGATTAGGTGTGAGATGGACCTCGCTCTCTCGGTCTTGGATGGGTCGATTCGGGTACTGGTTCGGGTTAGATTTCTACTACTGTATAGGCTTGATTGCAGTTTCGGTAGCAGACTCCTGGCCGGATTTGTCTTGTGTCGATCGTTCTCTGCTGGTTCGTGATAGCTCGTTCGTCGGGGAAGGGTTGTTAGTTTTTTTTTGTAGTTTGTGTTGTTTTTGTTCGGTGTTTGTCTTGTTTTTGTTTGTTTGTATTTGTGACTGTGTTTTAGGTTTGGGCTGTTAGCCTCGGTGCATCCGGGTGTCAAATTTATTACCCTGTGGGGGTCCGACACTCGGATATTACCCTGATTTTATATAAATGGTAAGTAAAGGATTTGACTCAAGGTTTTTATCAACTTTCCACAAATGATTTATCTACTATCCTCTTTCAATATATATAGATTTATTTTATGTATTCTAAGTAAATCTTCTCTCAACAAATTTAGAGTGAGATAATATTTTAAAATATTTAAACATGCTTAGACAATTTTTTTACACATTCTATCTACATATATATACATTTACTTATACACGTATACATGTACATATGTTATATTCAAATATTTTTAGACATGTTTTTTTTTTAAAAATAATTTAAATAATTTTAGGTGACTTACATCTTTTTTAATAGTTTTAGACATGTTTTATTTACAACTAGTTTAGAAAAATTTTAGGTG